TTAACTACCGTCAACAGCCATTCAGTATGATATCGGCTGATGGTTCGCGCTACAGGAATAAGCTAAGGCCTAGACATTTATGCATAGCATTCATTTAGTTGGCTTTCCTTTCTAAAACCATAGTATACTTGTTTAATTGATTCACCATTAATATTCTCATCTCCACTTGAATGAATTTTAATATGCTTCCATGCTTTCTTCAATTTGTGCTAGTATGTTCTAGTTTGGATGTATTGATCATACATCTATAGCCTTTAAATTAAGCATGGTGCCTAGTTTAAGGTTTAGATGCGTTGATCATATTTGCATAGGCTTTTAAATTAAGCGTGGTGCTTAGGTTAAATAGCCTTCCTTAATCAAATTAGACATGGAATCTAGTTTGGTTATTGAACTAAAACGACTTGTGTAGATATTGGTTGCATGTAAAATTGCAAATATGAATGGATAAGTTTTTGAGATAAATTCAAAAATGGAGATAGAGTCTTGTGGTACACTTCAACAAATTTTGCACATCATGAAAAAGAGCCACCTCTCATCTTTGAAGGGTGCGTTGTAAATGCTTTAAATATCCCTTTTGTGTCATGTTGTGCTTTGTAAAAGCTTTTGCAAGAACTTGGTGAACAATAAACAAGAACTAAAGAACATGGAAAAACTATCCATGCTAACTAAATAGGAGCGCCAACTTGTTGTTAACGTAGCAGAAAACCTTTGGCCTAAATGACAACAACCACCCTTGTTTCTTTATGAGTTCCTTCGGGTATGTGTTGTCCACTAACCTTTGTATGAAAGAGAAACGAAGATCAAGATGGTGTGCTAGAAACAAGAAATTCAAGCTGAACTCAATGGAGAAGTCATGCTCAATTAACCTGACAAAATAAGACCTCACCGACAGGTAAATTGGTATGTATCCCACATTTACTTTTCGCATATCTTTTAAATTTAAAACTCTTACATAGTTCGCTTTAAATAAAAATCCCTTTTCTTTCATGCATAATAAATTAGAATAATCTTGTCTTAGGTTAAAAAACTAAAAATAAAAATAATCAAATAAAGATTTACTCGAATTGTTTCTTTGCATAATAAGCTTGCAACCACTCTTGAATAAAGCCTCTCTTAAAAAAAGCAATGAGGAAAATGCTTTGGGACAAGTTCCCTTTTGGTATCTTTGTTCACTATGTTTTAAGATTAAAAAGAATGAGGGGAGTACCATGTCCAAGAACATAATTCTTGCATCAACTCTCACATGTCGATACTTTTTTGAAATGGAAGATATTTCAAAATATACTCCAATACTTACACTTGGATTTTGATTGCACAAAAGTCCAATTGTGGGGGAGCACATTTTGTCCTGATCCATCCTTGCTAAATTCTTTTCTAAGTTAGAGATGTTGCACCTTGCCTTGCTTTCTATAAAAAATCATGTTTAGTCTCTTCTCTTTGTTCTCACCCAAAAAAAGAAGATAAGTAACTTTGTAAAGAGAGAACAAAAGCATCTTATAGTACTTGTATCCTTCGGGTATTTGTCGCTAAACCTTTCAGGATGAACACAAAAAGGATGAAGGGTCAAAACAACAAGGTGCCATCAACTTGAGAAAAACGTCATTCAACATTGGAGTGCACTCTGAGGGATGCTCCAACATCTACACTAGGCTTTTAATATCGAGTGACATAAAAGTCCTAGTGTGGGGGAGGCTATCCGATTCCTCTAAGGCCTCTGCCACTTTGGCACACTGGTTTGCACTCCCTCTACCCACTCTTGCTTTATTCTTATATGCTTGATGTGTTGAAAAATGCTATATACTGAAATCAAACTTACAATGTGAATCATGCCAAACTATGAACATGACTTTATAAAGATTGGCTGGCATAAACTTTAATCCTAGTTCATATACTTGTTACTTGTGGACATATCTATATTAGGAAAACGTGTCAACTAAGTTGTTGTGAAGTGAGATATGGTAAAGACTAAAGAAATCCTATCTTTCTATGCAAGCTCTTGGAGATTTCTGTTTTGCTAAAACATCAAAATTAATAGCCTCACTTCTCCTCAATGGTGAAATTACCTACCAAAGCCAAATATCATGTGATATGTTGAAAACCTTCCACATATTCTACTTGTGTTTGTATTGAGCTTTGTCAAACTTTGTTGACCTTTGTTGAGAATTTTATCATGCTCTTAAGATCAAGGTCACATACACTCCACCAAATATATGCTATACTTCTACACTAGAAGTAAGCAAAAACATGCCTTTCCATTTCCACCAAATAAATACTCCATGTTTGCTAGCACGATTTTTCTCCATCATCATCAAAAATGAGGCATGGGCTATAGTATTGAAAAAAGAAAAAATGTGGACACATGAAGGTCCATAAAAATGTGGGGACACATTTTAGTCCACAGTCGAGTAAAAAAAGAAAAAAAACTAGCCCTGCTCTCATATAAAGGATGGAGAAAGAATCATTGCTATGGAGTAATCATTATCCTACTTCCACACACATGCACACCTTGATCTGAGTGTATGATATTTTTCTCCATGGATCTATTGTTTGACATAGCAATATATGTAATGCAAGTGTGCTTTACTCTTATCCTACCCAGACTCCACATAAGCCTATTAGAAGTAGGAAGGAAGGCAAAACATCAATGCCTTGGTAAGGATACAAACACCACTGAGTGACTTGAGAGTACCATTTGAGGAGAAGTATGAGCTATGTTTTCAATTGCAAAAGTTATAAAAACTCCAAGTATGTTTCATAGGGGATAGTGATGACTTGGTGTCAAAGTTGTTCCACTTTTCAACCGCTCAAGGCGACATGGTAGACACTTCAAAATGCACAAAGTACGAGGTATGACTTGGTATATCTTTTATGTTAGCATCATATCTTTGAAGTCTTGTTTCATATCAAGTTGCACCTAGATCTTTGTTTTCCCGCTTTGCTTGGGACGAGCAAAGGTTTAGTGCGGGGGAGCTTGTTGATGGTCACTAAATGCCTATTTTGACCATCAACATTTCACCATATTGCACCAAAAATGGAGTAAACAACAACATAGGTAGTGATTTATGTTTATAATTGACCTATTTTCACTAGTACTTGGAGATCTTTGCTTATGCAGGAAAACTATACAAAAATATCAAAAATTAAGCAACTAGAGGCAATTGAAGCAAGGTAGGCCACCATGGGCCACTTGGTGGCACCGCCCGGTGTGGTACAACCAATGGTGTTCAAATGGCAACTCTGATTGATATCACGCTTCAAAGATCCATTCTTTACACCTTAGCATCATTTGGTAGACATTACTTCCCCACATTTCCAGTCCATGCATTTGTGCAAGCTTTCAAATCCAAACTCTTAGCACATATGTAGGGGAAGTTAATGCTACTAAAATGGGTTTATGAAACTTGTCCATATCCTTTACACATGGTAAAAAGCTTGGGCAAGCAACATGAATCCAAAAGAATTACATTGAATATCTTTGTGAAAAGGTTGTCATCAATTACCAAAAAGGGGAAGATTGAAAGCACTAGTTTCGTTTTAGATAATTAATGAAACCTTGGGACTAATCCTAGTGCTAGTGTGTAGACATGAAAGGATGGTCCCATGCCAAGTGGTGGAGCTAGATGATGGTCATGGAGATGGTGGAGACCAAACTTGAAGATCAAGTGCTCTAACTTGGAAAAGAAGAAAGAGAAAAACAAAAACAAGGATATCAAGGCAAAGGTATCAAATAGGTTTTTGTTTTGGCACTCAAGACACCATGGAGCGTGTAAGTGTGTTTAAGATCGATAGCCATACTATGAACAGGGGAATTCTTTGACTAAGCGGTTCATCGAGTGCCACTAAGTGACATGTTTCTTGCATATGTATTAGGGACCTAGTGTGCTAACATTTAACCCTTGAAAACGCTTGAAAAAATGCTAACACACGTGCACACAAGTTACACACTTTGTGGTTAGCAACTTGGAAGCAAGGGTGAAGTGGTTGTCGACTTAGAAAAAGAAAAGGAGGCGCGGGGTAGTGACCGGACGCTGGTCGGAGGTGGACCGAACGCATCCGGTACTCAACCCTAGGTCTCGATCAGTGGCGCTGCACTGATTGGACGCTGGGATCGGACTCGGGCGCCGAGTCCAATCAATTAGCGCAGAGGAGAAGCAGTGCGTGGTGGCGATCAAACGCAGGAACCAACTTGTGACCGGACGTGCAGGGCCCGCGTCAGGTCCACGCTTAAACTCATTTTCGAAACTAGGGTTTGAAACATAATTCTGAGACTACTTGTCTAAAATAGTATAATGAAATCCTATTCAAAGCATAAATAAATTTTATAATTTATTTTTACTTAGATTTAATTATGCAATGAGCATGGGTATAGCACCGCTAAGGAAATTAGCTTAGAAATTCCTGATAAAGATATTTTTTATTTAACAATACTGATGACAAACTAACTAAAAGTAGGAAAACAATGAAGTCATTTATTTATTTAGTATTTTCTAGTCACATCTCAAATAGAAAATTTGGGTGTGCCATACTTCTCCTATTTAAGGGAATATGAGTGGGATGTCGATGGGCAACAAGAAAAAGAAAGAGTTATTGAGAGATTGTTAGAGAATATGATAGTTTTATGAGGATAATGAGTGAGATGAAATTGTTGTAGATACTCTTAGCCAACTCTAAATCCAACTAGTTTTTAGTCCATAAAAGAATATAATTGTACCACTGTATCAACTTAAAGTATCTTAAATTTAACTATTATATATAAAATTGTATAAATAGTGATGATATCAAGTAAATATCATTAGATTTGTCATGAGATATATTTTCATAAAACTTATTTGGTGTCATAAATATTATTGTAATATTTTTGCATATACATTTACTTAAACTTATGGAACTTTATATAGAATTGCAACATTTTCTGGACAGAAGCAGTAATAACGAATCTTAAGGGTTAAATGTTAGTAGTTGAGAACGTAGCTCAAAAACATGAGCGGAGAGAAGTCCCGATGTATAAAATGTCCGAGACGCATGAGACTCATGCCAAAAGAGAAGTCCCTTATGCGCGTAGCCTTTTGTTCTTTTGCGACCGTCCCAACGGTGGTGACGTGCTGGTTCTCCCTCCACGTGTTGGGCGCGCACGCCTCGGATCGTCCAATCCCGTCGCGTCGCGGGCCAACGCTATTCAAAGCCAACTAGACACGAGGGACCCACCATCCGCCTCTGCCGAGTGCCGAGCCTGTGAGTTTTGACGAACGGAGCAGAGAAAACCATGTGCTCCGACTCCGATTGACGGCGACCGTTGCCGTGCTGTGAAGCTGGGCCCTCTCAGAGCACAAAAAAAAAGGGAAAATTGGATCCTTACCATCAAAAGAACGCATCTTTAGATATATACCATTAAAAGATTCAATTTTAGATATCTAACATCAAAAGGTTACAACGTTACAGCTATATACCATTTGTTACTGTTCCGTTACTTTGCACGTTGGTTTGACTAGTTCATTTTTTACCATGTTCCGATTTTGCCCTTGGAAAAGAAAGAACGCATCTTCTTAGTTCGTACTAGTGCCGCTTCGTCGTCTCCTGCAGTCTTCGGCTCTTTGTGGAGAAAAACAAGCGCCGTGGCACACTCCCTGCCGCCGTCGCGCTCCCGGCGACGTGCTCCCCGGCGGCGAGTGCTTCCACGCACCTCCACAGCACTGCTCCCCGCGACGCATCTCCCAGCAGTCGCGGCTTTCCCGGCGGTGTGCTCCCCAGCGTTGACTACCTCCTCGCCTCCCCAGTTGTGCTCTCGGCGACGCACCCTAGCGTCGACTGCCTCATCTGTGCCTCCCTAGCAGTGGGTATTCTCATCATCATCATCATCTTCTTCTTCCTGCTATTTTTTTGTTGTTGTTCTAAACCCTAAATTTCCCCTTTCTTACAGTGCTGAAAAATCGACCTGAAAATTGAGTTGTATGGATCCTGCTAAGGTTCCAGAAGGGTAACGACCTCTTTCTCTCCTTCCAAAACTCTGAAATTTGCAGCTATTATCATCTTAGGGTTTGGTAGTGCAGTGAGCACATGACATAGGACTTTGCAAAGGGAATAAAATTAGTGATGCTAGAATTGTTGCTGGTTGATGTTGCAGGATTGATCCAAAGAGTGCGTGTAGAGTAGAGATCAATGTCAATGGTTACTTCACTGTGCGGGGTGGTAGAAAGGAGTATAATCGGGGCAGGACAGTAAGCTGGGTTGTTGATTCAGAAAAGTACACAGTCATTGATCTGGAGAAAGATATTGCTCCGTATTTTACATGGGGCAGCGATCAACAGGCCAACTTCTGGGTTGTAACGGCGGGGAATACTATGACATCCAAGTTGTCTTCAGATGTTCAGCTTCTTGATTTGTTAAGGGCATCAGAAATAGTGAAATTGTTTATGGTAGTGGGTACACGCGAGCAAAATATTACTGAGGAGGAGATGCCTGCTGCAGTTCACATAGAAGATGATGTGATTCCTACTGCAATGAACATAGGAGAGGAGGTGAACCTCACTGCAATTGATAGTGATTTGGATGTACTAGATGGAGGGTTTACATGGGCGTAAGCACCTCAATATGGGGAAACAACAGAGGGGCCACAAATGCCCAAAGAGGAAGAGAAGGAGCATTTCATGATCATTGGGTGTGATCCTCACTGAGATGATCCGGCCGGAGCAGATGAGGAGTGGAGGTATTTCAAGACTATTCCAGGATGATGAGGTGCGAGAAAAGAAAGAGGGCAAGAACTATTCCGAAAATTAGAGAATTTGATACTGAAACTGTTCTTGATGATGAGGCTACCATTCGTAATGATTTTTTTGTGCCTCATACATCACATGATAAGGAGAATCCAATCATTAAGGTGGGAGACACATTTATTGACAAGGATGCTTTTGTTTACAATATCAAACAATATGCCATCAAAAATCAGTTTGAGACTAGGCTTGAACATAGTGACAAAGAAAGGTATAGAGCAAGGTGTGCAGATAATAATTGCAATTGGAGAGTGTATGCAAAGAAACTACATGGCAAAGAACACATTCATGGTGGTCAAGCTCTCCGGATTTGATGAGCACACTTGTCCCAATACAAGTAGTGGACGAGAGGCTTCAACAAACTTGGATATCCGAAAAGTCGAAAGATATTGTAAAGGAGGATCCCACTCGCTTCGCAAAGAAATTACAGAGAAGATTGGAGAAACACTACGATATTGAATTGTCATATTTTAAAGTGTGGTCCGGAAAGAAGTCTCGCAATGGATGATCTTCATGGTACTTGGGAGGACACCTTTGACATGCTATGGAGGTTCAAAGCAAAGACTTGAAGAATGTTGCCCGGAAGCATTGTTGAGATTGATTGCAAGAAGATTAATGGAGAAATGTACTTCTCAAGGATGTTTGTAGCAATTAGAGCATGTATTGATGGATTTCTCATTGGTTGCGTGCCATACCTTGGGGTTGATTCCACTCACCTAATCGAAGTATAAAGGGCAGCTAGTCAGAGTAACTCGCAGTTGATGGACATAATCGGATGTATCCAGCTGCATATGGGATCTTTGGAAAAGAGACAAATTCTAATTGGACATGGTTCATGGCGCAGACTAAAAGAGCAGCTTGGAACACCCCTCAGGTTAACAATCCACACCGATGCATGTAAGGGGCTAGCATATCTTTCAACAAAGTCTTTAAAGGTGACGCAGAGCATCGGGAATGTTTTAGGCACCTCATGGCTAATTTCGTAAAAAAAAAATTCAAGGGTGACGTGCTCAAGTTTATGTGGCCTTGTGCATGGGCATGTACAGATCGTAGGTATGATACACTAATGGAGAAAATTGCAACAATAGTCCTAAAGCAATTCCTTTCTAAATACACATCATAAGTTGAAATGGAGCAGTCCAAATTCTCCAAAGAATGCAAGGTTGATTATGTGAACAATAACATCTCGTAATGTTTCAACAATTGGATTAAAGATGACAAAGACCTTCCAGCTTGCCGATCCGATGGATAAGATAAGGGAGAAAATAATGGGGAAGATTTACACAAGGCAAGTGATTGCTAGTAGACCGGAAGGATATATCCTTCCAAGTGTGTTACATGAGTTGAACATGAAGAGTCGTGGACCGCACTATGAAATCCGTAAGAGTGGTGCAATGTCGTGAGATATCGTGAATAACTAAAGAGGGAAGAGTTGGAGAGTTGTCATGACATCCAAAGAAAGAACTTGTGGTTGTGGACAATGGCAGATTCTCGAAAACCTGCACTCATGCAATAGCTCTATTTGGAAAAGTAAGGCACCTTAACATTGAAAACTTTGTGGATGACTACTATTCACTAGAGAGGTTCAAGGCACCTACCACTTTGTGGTCACCCCAATGGGTGACAAGACTCAATGGCCAAAATTTGATCCCTGGGTTTAAAATGATTCCTCCAAAGCTAGAAAGACTCACAGGTAGACCAAGGAAGAAAAGAATTAAGGCTAGTGGAGAGGCAGGGAAAAGAGGCCCATATCAATGCAAAAGGTGTTTTCAGTTTGGACACATAGAAAAAGGTTGTAATGCTACTCAAGCTGAATTAGAACAAGAGCTTCCACCACCTCGTCCAAAAACTTCCAAAAGGAAAAGGTATTGTAAATTGTAAATTTGTAATATAAATGGTTGATACATGCTGAAATATGTTCCCAAATTTAACTTGTTTTGTGCCTCCTAGGAAATCCAAGTCTGAAATTGAGTCATCCGCTAATGATCCACAAGTGACTCCCGGCACCAAGTGCAACAACAACTAGCCCAGGTCCTATAACAAGAAGCATGTCTTCTCTTTCTCCAACTAGCCCAGGTCCTACAACAAGAAGCATGTCTTCTCTTTCTTCAACTAGTTCGTGTCCAAGAAGGATGGCATCCATCTCACCAGGAGGAATTAATAGGAGGATTATTATTAGCTAGAAAATGGTTGTGTTGAGTGTGTCAACACATGGCTGTGTTAAGTGTGGACATGGTTGCGTTGGTTGTGGTCTTTTTGTGCAGCTCCATAGGTCTAACTTTTGCTGGAGCATCAACATGGCTATGTTGGCTATGGTCTTTTGTGAACTCCATGAGTCTAACTTTTGTTGCCAACTACAAAAATCTGGTTGTATGCAACATACTGTTATATTATTGAAATGACAGCCATATGAGATAATGGCCTTTTGTTAATACCACTCAAAAGTTGTGTTTATATGTTGCTGAGATGTTGTGTTTGTATCCTACTGAATTTTATTTACACATGCTCTCCTAGACTGCAGCAAGATAGCCCCTAATATGCAATGGCAAAATGGTCAGATATAACTTGGAGTTAACAGAACTAGTGAGCTACCAACATCAGTCATGTTTTAATGGTACATATCTAAAACTGAATCTTTTAATGGTATATATCTAAAGATGCGTTCTTTTGATGGTAAGGATCCAATTTTCTCAAAAAAAAAAGACGTCCGGTTCGAGGTTCCTCACGTGGGGGCACTGACGTATGGGTCCCGATGCCCAACTGCCATTGACGGTGCTCCAGACCTCCTCCAGTGTGACCCACTGACCCAGAGACGGAGGGGGCATTTTCGTAACTTGGCCGCTCCATTTCTTTTCACGGAGGACGAGGGCCGAGGGGCGCACGCGGCGCACATGCGGTGTTTGCTGTTCGGCCGTCGCCGTTACTCGTGCAGGGTGGCTTATCCCTAAACTTTTAGCGGTTGTCCCGTTACATATTTATACATGTATAGTCTATTAAATATAGATTATTTATGAAACTAAATATATAGATTGAAACTAATTTGTGAGACAAATTTATTAAATCTAATTAGTCTATAATTTAACAATGTTGTGCTCTAGTAAATATATGTTAATCACGAATTAATTAGATTTAATAAACTTGTGTATTACTTAGATTTCTATACTTTATTTGTTTTATTAATATTCAGACATCTCATACGACATTCATGACATCTGATGTGACAACTGTCCCTCCATCCAAGCACCCGCCGAGAGCACTTGTACCGCAGGCGCAGAGAGGGGCGGGGGACCCGGCTGGGGCAGGGGCACGGGCTCGTGTCGCACTGTTGCCCGCTCGTCACGTTGCCAGGTTTGGCGAGAAACACGTGGCAGCGCTGATAGCTGGTGTCATTTTCAGCGTTTCTTTTTTGTTCGCTATCTTGCCCCCTTTTTCTTGGAAAGATGTTTGTTTTGTTATAAAACACGTCGTTGACGTCCAATCGGTTCTTGCTCAACACAAATATAGAAGTGAATACAATAGAATAATTATTGGACTATTCTTTATTGCTTTCTAGATATTTAGTTGATATCATCACTGTTTATACAATTTTATATATAGTCTAAATATGTCTTAGAGTTTGGTAAGCGTCTATACAACAAACATATTAGGATTCCTCGTTCTCCTCTTTCTATATTCCAAAGTCCGTATGTTTTACAACACTCTTTTTAGGCGATTACCACGATATTATGCCTCATTAAAAACTCTATCTGAAAAACCTAGTGGGAAAAAATAGTTTATGCAGAAAAGAGTACATATATACCGTTTTTGTTAATTGCACATATATTGCCTCATTAAAATCTTTATGAGAAACTTCAGGAAAACTCACAATAGGAAAAAGAGTACAATAATAATCTTCAAGATTTCATTGAACATTCTTCTAGAATGGTCACCGTGTCTTCTGGACATCTTAACAATCAGGATTATTTAATCAAGGAATTCTCCCCTTAGTCTTGTATTTCTCTTAGTCTCTTCATGCCAAGCCCACGTATGCACTTTTCAAAAATTGGTGGAGCTAAAACCTTTGTGAATACATCTGCAAGATTATCACAAGATTTGACATGAGTTACCATAATTTCTCCATTCTTTTGCAATTCATGTGTATAGAAAAATTTAGGTGAAATATGCTGGGGTGACATTTGATTTAATATAACCCGATTGAACTTATGCAACACAAGCTGAATTATCTTCATAGATAATAGTAGGAATAGGCGCAATATTAAATCCACATGCATTCTGTACATACTGATGAACGCGCCTAAGCCAAATGCTCTCTTTGGCTGCTTCATATAATGCAATGATTTTAGAGTGGTTAGTGGATGTTGCTACCATTGTCTGTTTAGATAACTTCCTGAAGATAGCTGTTCCACCACTAAAAAATACATACCTAGTCTGTGATAATTCGTTATGGGGATCAGACAAATATCATCCGTATACCCAATTATGCTAAGATCTTGTTTCTTTCGGAAATATAATCCAAGATCAATAGTACTCGAAGGTACATAAGAATTCTTTTTACACCACTCCAATGTCTTTTGGTTGGTGCTGAACTAAACCTTGCCACTAGGTTAACAGCAAATGCAATATCTGACCTCGTACCGTTTGCAAGGTACATTAACGCACAAATGGCACTTAAATAGGGATATCCAGATTCTAATATTTCTTCTCCTTCTTCTTTGGTCTAAAAGGATCTTTTTCTACATAGAAAGATCTCCCCATCATGGGTGTACGTTCAGGTTGTGCATTTTCATGATGGAATTTTTCTAATACCTTCTTGGTATATGCAAACTGGTGTACTAAAATCCCTTCGTGAGTATGCTCAAGCTGCAAGCCTAAGCAAAATTTAGTTTTACCTAAATCTTTCATTTCAAATTCAGATTTTAGGTAAGTACTAGCTTCTTCGATGTCTTTTGTAGTTCCAATGACACTCAGGTCATCTACATAGACTGATACTATGCAAAAACCTTTCTCACATTTTCGTATAAATACACAGGGACAATCTTCATTCTTCAGGAACCCCTTCTCTTCAAGAAAATCTCTAAGACGATTATACCACATTCTTTCAGATTGTTTTAAGCCATAAAGTGATCATTGCAATTTGACCGTTCGTCTTATTCAAAAATTTTGTGTAAATTATAAATAAATAAGTCATTATTAAAATATCTCTAATGATAAAATAAGTCATAACAAAATATATGATATTTATACAAAAAATTTGAATAAGACAGATGGTCAAACAAGATGTCTGAAAGTAAAAAAAAACAACACTTTTTTTTTGGGACGGATGAAGTGTATAAACATTGATATTATTTTTCTATAAAATTAAGTAAACATGAAATTAATTTATTTCTCGAGATGCAAATGCTTGTAACAACTGGTTGCATAGCAACATGTTGGTCAGCGAAGGAAAGCCAGCAGCAGGCAACAGCAGCATCCATGGGACCATGGGACGACATATGGCCATCGCACCATGGGCAGCGGCACTGCGGCAGTGGCGGGCCAAACGTGACAAGCAAGGCGATGAGGGCGTCCCCAACGGCTGACAATGTGCTAGCTTAGCCTGTTTGTTTGGTTGTAGCGTATCGTAAACGATCATAAATTTTTAGTCAGAATAGTATTTTTCTCTCACACAAATCAGCTAGCAGTACTTCTTCACGAACCAGCCAACAAAACAGGCTGTAGGAGGATCAGCTTATCCAATCAGATGGAGAGAGGCTGACAAAAACTACAACGCTAGCGACGGAGCAAGCGCTCAGCTCGCACGAGTCTCTGACATGCATTCCCTGGAGCAGCTTGTTTTCTTTTTTGAGTAAATTGCACCGTAGCTCTATAAACTTTTCGTGGATTCCCGTCTAGGTCCTTAAACTTAAAATGTTACCATCTAGGTTCTCGATCTATCTGTCCCGTGCACTAACAGTCCAAAACATGCCACGCGTGCGCTAGGAGCTGATGTGTACTCCCTCTGTCCCAATATAAAGGACGTTTTAGACTCTGGGGGGAGTACCAAGGCCAGCACCAAATGACCTGCATGCCCCTACAATTGCAATCCAGACAACACAGTGTAGCCACTTGCAAGGCATCGACTTGCTTGTACAATTTTCATTAAACAAATGAACATTTCAGCAAAACATAATTTTACACCAAGTGGGAACCAAACTTAGCGCCAAAAATTAAGAGAAGCAACATAAACAAATTCAAATAGCCATTCAGCGCCATATTTAACTTCAGGCTACTAAAGCCACCGCCTCACTGCCCACAACTCCTCCAAACCATTCACTCGCCATGGCCCTTGACTTGAATGCAACTCCAGATGAGGAAGGAGATGAGGGCCTGATCTCAACGAGCCACCAAGAAATGAACAAGATAGGAGTATCCATGATCCCTTGAAGCGGTTGGTGCAAGCGAAATAAAAAGAGGTGATTCTTTACTTGCCCTCCTCCTTCAACATGCAGTTTAGTATGATGACTTTTGTTCTTTTTCTCTCTCTCCTGTCTCCTAAAATGAGTTTGCTTGGATTCTGCTTTCTTTTTCTCTATCTCCTAAACTGATTTTGTTAAGGTAATTTGATGCCTTACTCCTATTGGATTTCAATTTGGTGTAGCCTAAGGTTATTTCCTGGATTCAATAGAAGTGCAAAAAATTTAATCTACTAAAAGTTGCATCTAACCTCACCATATGTTTTGTTGCTTCTACAGAAAATTTGGTATACCAAATGCTTTTTTAGCATCTTGTCCAAAATAAATAAAGGCTTTGACAGGAGTACATTTCAGCAGGGTGGATAACTCACAAGTGCAATTGACAAATGCCTCGCCCATTTTCTTTAAATGAACAAGAAGGAAGCGTACATGCAGTGAATATTTCTAGCAGCTTCTTGATATTTAACGAACATCAATTCTCTACAATTAAAGGGCTATCTTAGAATGCTCATTTCAAAGAGCACAAATAAAGTGGTGTGTTTATGTTTGTCACCTGAAATTATTTTTTGTAGCA